CCTCTCCCCAACAAGAGCTCATTATGTGTGCTATGTGATGTAATCATAGACATTATTGTCAGCCGTGTGCACAGACTGACCAGAGTGAGGATAGTGCTATGTATGTAACTGCAGACATTACTGTCAGCCGTGTGCACAGCCTGCCCAGTGTGAGGACAGTGCTATGTAATGTAATCACAGACATTACTGTCAGCTGTGTGCACAGCCTGCCCAGTGTGAGGACAGTGCTATGTGATGTAACTGCAGACATTACTGTCAGCCGTGTGCACAGTCTGCCCAGTGTGAGGACAGTGCTATGTCATGTAATTGTAGACATTAGTGTCAGCTGTGTGCACAGCCTGCCCAGTGTGAGGACATTCACATGTGTTTCCCACCTGTTTTCTCTGCACATGGGTAGCAGGGAGGTGAGGGGCAGTTCCCAGTCCTACTTCACAGAGAAGGAAGAAGCCCCATCTCAAGTCATGCAGCCAGCAGTGGGAAGAGTGAGGATTTGAACCCAGGTCCTCCTAGTCCCAGTGACAGGCTCTGACCTGACCCCTTGAAGTACCCTCACCACCCTCATGATGCCCCAAGCACTTCCAGGCCCATCATGCCAGCACCATCTAGGTACAAGTTGTTAGTTAACTTATTTAGCAGCTGGGGCAACTAGGACGAACCCAGAACCAGGCCTGAGGCCACCACTCCAACTCCAACACCCCCAGGCTGGTCCTGGGATGTGAAAACCCCTCTTAAAAAGATTTCAGCGTGGCTCTTTCCTCTGTGTCTATAGCTGGGAACAGGGTTTTCATGGGTTTGTGGAACATGGTGGCAGGCAGCCAGGAAGAAGGTTTGCATACAGAAGCAAGCCTTGGCAAAGCCACAGTAGAGATCTGACTACCTGAACTATCAGAATCACAAGGTCATACTGTCCTTCGCTACTGTCTTCATTGTGAGGGCTGTCTGCCGTCTCAAAGCCCGGCTCCCATCTGTCTCTGTGCTAGTCTGGCTTGGCATGGACTCTGGGCTTGGTAGTGAACTCAAACAATGGGGCCTGTGGAAAACAGGATGTACAAGCCTAGGGACAGTCCTGCCCTGCCAACTGGCTGGGGCCTGATGCAGGTGCAAGGACCCAGGCACTGGATTTTTACCCTTGTGTGACCTGGACACCTGTAGGCCTCTCAGAGACCCGTTTCTTCCACTGGAAAATGAGGCTTCTAACCTGCGTTTTGATGACTAGCAGGCTCAATAAAGAAGTGTATCTAACCTGAAGGTCATAGAGCAGGTAGATGGCTATGCCTACCCCAAGGGAGGAAGAGTACTGCTCACCGCTGCCCCCAAGAGGCTGTGTGTGCTGGAACAGCGGCTCCTGTGTTCTGCTGGGGCACAGACCCTGCCTTCTCATCTCAGCAAAGCCCCTTCCTGTCTGAACCTCCTTCAAGGTCACTGGAAATACAACAAGACAAAGAAGGACAGTTCCTGGTGGCAAATAAAGGACAGTGGTCATTGCCAGTTGTCTGCTTATAGAGGACTGTGATTCTGCAGTGCACACTGTGAAGGGCTGTGCACATGAGCCACGGGGTTTGGAGGTGGAGTTGGGGCTCTTGAAATTCAGAGTGGAGAGTGGGGCGAGCTCACCAAATGTGAGATGGAGGTCACCCGTGAGTCCTGTTGTCCAGCTGTTTCTGTCCCTGACATTCTGGGAAGGCTGTACAACAACTTCAGTCAGAGTCCAAGAAACATAAGTCTTTTATTTTTGTTTTTAATAGTTTGTGTTTGTAGGTGTATGATGGTCATGTGAGAGTGCAGGTACATCTGTGAACCATTCACCAGTTGAGGTCAGAGGATAACTTTCAGGAGTTGCTCCCTTCTTCCACTTTTCTGTGGGCTCTGGAGAGCAAACATGGGTCATTAGCCCTGTGAAGCAAACGCCTCTCCCACTGACCCATCCTGTTGACTCAAGAAGAGACATGGGCTAGCAAGAATAAAACATCCATTATCTGCCTACGAGATGGAGCTTCCGCCATAGGATTGCTTTGGCTTCTCACTGATGGAAATTAGCCACCTTTCGACCTACACAGGAGGTGGGTCTCCATACAACCCTTGTCTATTTTCTTTTTTTAAAATTTTATTTATTTATATTTTATATATGAGTGCTCTGCATGTGTACCTGCACACCAGAAGAGGGCATCAGATCTTATTATAGATGGTCATGAGCCACCATGTGGGTGCTGGGAATTGAACTCAGGACCTCTGGAAGAGCAGCCAGTGCTCTTAACCCCGAGCCATCTCTCCAGCCCCCTCCCTTGTCTGTTTTCATTCATAAATTATGTTTATTTGGCAAAATCCACCAGAGAATGAATCCACTATTAAGAACATGGAATCATTTGAGGTCCTGGATCCAGCAATACCCAAAGCCAGATAAAGGTTATGAGTTTTCACCTCAAATCTTAGTTCTTACTAGCTTCTTTGGTTTATTCTCTTAAAGCAGGGGAGTTGGATTCCTCCTTTTCAGCCTCCAACCATCCTGACTTGTACATTCACACATCATCTGCCTCCTTCCCAATGGTAATGTGTGGGTCACACAGCCACACTATAAAGATGGCTGATATCAAGGTAGGAAGGATGTGAATCGTTCAACAAGCCTTGTTGGCTCCGTAAAGAAGAAGCACTCCTCCATGGCCATGAATTCACTTATTTACTGTTGCTGGGATTTTCTACTCTGAGAAATAATCACCTCGGGGGCAGACTAAACAAAATCACATAGGCAGCTAGTTTATAATACAGATGCTTCAGTCAGCGAGATGGCAAGGGGGTTTCATTATCACCCCCTAACAGAAACGGTCACCGTGGCTGACTCTGGCCAGGAGAGGTTATCAGAGCACTCAGATAGAAGGAGAGTGGATGGGAGGATGGGCAGAGGAACCTGAGACCCACAATTCTACCCTATTCACTGGACAACCAGAAGCTGGTGACTTCTCTTCTATGAGTTCTCAAATGATGACTGGGCTAGCCTTGGCAAACACTAGGAGCCTTCTCAACAGAACATTCTCCCACTGACCCATTCTGGGTCTTCTTCCCAGCACTTACTGAATTGACCCCTTGTTGGTAGCCTCAGGTTCCATAACATGGGGCCTTAGTCTTGGCACAAGGTCCGTCACTGCCACTCACGCATCCTGGGTGACCTTTGGGTTAGAATAACTTGGCTAACCTTAAGTATTTTCTTTGGAGTCTCCTTAAAGTATCCTGAAAACGGGGCTTGCATCTCATCCTGTCATTACAATATAAGGGCCACTGTCACCTCCAGCATCCCTGTAGAGAAGCAAGCATTTCCTGTGCACCCTTCTCCAGCCTGTGAGTATGAGTTCCTCTAGAGCAACCCCCTAACAGGGGTTTCAGGAGGCTTTGGGGCAAGAGGCAGATGAAAGGTGTTGTTTCTGTTAGGGAAGTTTGGACTCTAACAAATTTGAAGACTTAGATGATATTGTGTCGGACTAATGACAACCTAGGTTCATGTGGGTTCTATTGAGTGTTCAGATTTTATTCATCAGTGAATTGTCTCAGTGTATGGACAAAGGCTTCTTACTGGCATCTAGGCTTCACAGTGACACAAGCCATAGCTATTTCCCTAAGGACAGTGATGTCCTAATCTTGGTGGAGTCATGGTAGTGGGATCCTCAATCTGGTCTCTGGGAAGGGACCTGGAGTTGTCTTTATGGAAGGTGTGACGTTTCACTGAATCTACAGAACAGATTTAGGTTGCAAAGCGAAGAGGAAATATATTTCAAGCAGAGAAGGCAGCAAGCACAGAGGACCTGAGCTTACAAAGCATAGACTAGAGTCAGCTTGCCTTTCCAAGCTCTGTCCCTCCATTCCCTGACTGTGTCTCATAAGTTTCTCTACCTTCCCCACCTTGCCTGTTGATTTTCTTAAGTTATAATTGTATTTAATTGTGTTTATGATTTTTAAATTTACCATACAAATTAGTGGGCTTGCTGTGGTATTTCCCTACATACTTAGTTCCTCTCCTTCTCCCTCCCCTGCTGTCCTTCCCCATCCCCCCTTGCTAATGGCTTCCTCCTTTTTACTTTCATGTCACATGCATTCCTTGCTCTCTCTTTCCTCATCTTCTCTTCTCTTAATATTTTTTCTTCTTCTCTCATGATCTCCTTGGTTTATGACCTCATACACATTCAACACATTCATATATATATATGTATACAAATTGGAATCTCATTTGCACTTGGCAGAAACTAGGGTATTTTATCTTTCTGAATCTGGCTAATTTTGCTAAGCACAATGGTTTCAGTTCTATCTGTTGTAGAATATGATTTCAAGGTGTGTTACTTTTGTTTATGCTCTGGAACATTTGTTTAATGATGCAAAGATGTGTTTGATTAAATAAAATTCACCTGCGGTCAGGAGCCTGAGTCAGCAACTAGCTGACAGGAAGTGGTAGGGAGGAGCCAGGTGAGAAAGGGTTTATAAGGAGGGTGAGAAGCCGCACAGGGGGTTTTTGGAGGACGCGAGCAAGAAGAGGAGGTAAGTTACTTGCTGTTCAGCCTCTGAAGAGTAGAATTCTACCTTAACCATTGAGTCTTGAGTTCTTTGGAGGGACAGAGGTTTAGTTAAGTTCCCTTTGTAGCTCTTCGAGAGTTGGAGCCTGAGGGAACAGATTTCCCTCTGGCTATGGCCCTTGCGGCCTAACTGCTGCTGGTAGCCTCGAGTTGTAGTTGCTGCTTCAGACAGCTGTGGCTTAAAAGGCAGCAACTATTTAAATAAAGGACAACATCTATCCATTTCCTGAAATGTCATGACTTCATTTTTTTTGTTAAGACAGAATAAAATTCCTCATTTTCTTTATTCATTTCTGAGGGTGTGCATCCCTGCTGGTTCCTTCTCTTGCCTACTATGAACAGAAGCACATCTGTCTTGTAGGAAGGTCAAGTGTGAGAGTGACAGGCGTTCACTATGTGTTCTTTCCTCTTCTTCCTCCTGTGACCACTCAGGTGTCAGGACCAAAGATGTTCCAACTTGGGAGCCTTATTGTCTTCTGCGGCCTGCTCATCGGGACCTCAGAATCTCTTTTGGGTAATGTTGTCAATGCTGTGAGTAATTTGAACGTTCCGAATTCTGCGTCTGGAGGTGAGTCAATATGGGTCCCACCTGCTTGTTGGTCCCAGGAGTAATCTTAATAAACACTATGACTGCAATAGCAGAGGCTGCTAGGAGGGGGCAGTGTTGTCCTCTATGGACAGCTTACTGAAGAATGTGCAGCAATTCAATTCCTGTCTCATTTACTTATCATTTTAGAAATAAATAGTACCATGACATTATATCCTAATAGAGTCTTGCCAATATATGTACAGGATAAATTTATCAAAGTGAGATTTCAAAATTTTAAGTAGTATGGACATCTTAAATAATGGCATCCATCCCACTTTCTCTAGCAGTCTGTGGGAGCCTGTCCCCCAACCCTGCTTCCTTTTAAGCACTAACATGGACAGCATTAACTGGTTTGCCATTATCGGAAATGAGAGGATGTAACTCATCTCACTTTGCACTTCTCTAATTCTAATCATCCTCTTATTTTTCATATCTTTAATAATGGTTTACATAATTTAGCTAAAGTGTTGTGTCAGAATTATTAGCATATGTTTCCATAGTTAGTTTGACCTTTTCTTACTGATCTGTGTTGACTGGCTGAAAGTAATATCAACCCACCTGGCTTGGACGTCCACAAACAACCCAACTTTCTATTTAATTGCACCTCTGTTTTTTGCTGTAGAGCTGGGCTAACTGACAAACAGGTCTTATAGGAACAGGAAAGCTCTGTGCATGCTGCCTTGCAACCTTGTCAATGTTTAGGCAACTTTCAAAGATGAAGAAAGGAGCTATCCTCCCATTCCCCAGCTGGGGAACAGCAGCAGAGAGAAAAGGGTGTCACGTTCAAAGTTACCTGGGAGTTATATGCGAGATGGAGCTCTCTAAGCAATGCTCACTGAGGTGGCCTTGTGTGCATTGTTATAACAGGTAGATACTGTCCATCACAGGGCCAAGTTGCAGTATTGTGATTCTATCTGTTTGACTAAAAGTGTTCTTAATATTTTATTTTCAGTTGTATGAATTTATCCCTCTTATATATCTGTGTGTGTGCCCCCAGAAGCCAAAAAAGGGTGTCAGATCCCCATGGGAAACACATGGTAATCAGCCATCCAACATGGGTGCTGGGAACTGAACTCGAATCTTCTGCAAGAGCAGCAAGTACTATTAATGCTGAGCCGTCTCTCCAGTCTCACGACTGCATTGAGAACACAGGCAGTATGTGGTCATATGTGGTAGTATGAGTGCCTTTCTTAAAAAAAAAAAATTCAAACACACACAAACACACACACACACACACACACACACACACACACACACACACACACACACAGCAAACATCCTTAAAGGAAGAAGTGAAATCTTTTCTCCAGTTCTGAAAGATACTCAATACAGACAGGAAAGCAGCCCAGAAACAAAGGTTAGTCTTCAGAGTTGTGTGATTTCAGTAGCTAACGCTGGAGGATGGACTGAAACACCACTGTCCAAATGGGACAAAACACACACCACAGCAAGTTTCTAAGCGAAGATGCTTCATACCCAGAGAAATGAAACAGGGTACAAAAGGTGGAGAAATGAATGGGCAAAACTGCATTACCGTAAATATTTTAATGCAGCATTTTAAGCCATGTGTCCTTTTGAGAATAAGGGATTATTGTTGTTTTGTTTGGTTTGTCCCTGAGTTAATAATTGCTGTTTTTTTTCCCACAGTAGAGATATTTTCTAAACCAACAACCCTAACACTTCACACATGCCTTCTGGCACATGACATATATTCTTTTAATTCCCCAGTTATTCTCTGAGATCCTCTGTTAGGACACGCTATCTCCTTCTCCAATGTCAATTCATTTTCTCTCGGCCTGATTCCCAACTGTCATTTTGGGACCCCTATTTCCCACTTTCACTGGTTGGAGCAATACTTTCCCTCTATACTCTTTCCTTCATTCTAGATTTTTCCATTTCTTGGTTTATTCTCTCAAGTGCTTGAATAAGTTTCTCAAACCCACGTGAGCATCTCATTAAGAGCAACAGATGCTCAAATCATCCCTGAAAACAGGTATAAATAATGAACTTCATCAGTGCACATATTCATCTCTGTAGACACATTCCTTAGGAGTCTCGGGTTCCTCTTCTGTACGATGGATATGGTGGCAATACTTTCTCACTGAGCTGTGGCAGAGACTGAATGAAGCAGTGCAGAAAAACTGACTTCTCTGAGACCAGGAGGATGGGAGCTCATTCCCTAGTGGTGCAGGCACCGATTGATGACTGTTTTGACAGATGTCCTTCAGAACCTGAATCTAGATGTGGGGTCACTTCAGGAAACCACGGATTGGGCATTAGCCAGTAACAACATTCTAGGAGCTTTGAACACACTGGACCTTGGCAAATTAAACCTCCTTTCATCTCAGAAAGGTTTAGGGTGAGTTGGTGCTTCTTTGCTCCCAGAAAAGGGACTACCTGAGTACCCAGTTTCAAAGACAGATGGATAAGCCTTGTCTTCCCCTAGAGAGCTGAGGAGTTCTGAGGCAAGGTTCATTACAGCTTGAGTAAGTCTGAGGAGGGCTACAGGGTCATTTTGGACAGTTCACACATCTGGGTTCCCACAGTCTGTAATTTCAGGCTGAAGGTGGCTGTTCCATTTTTCCTAATATCCACTTTTATCTTGGTACCTAGAGCGTTTCTCTAAGAATGACACTGTTCTTCAAATAAAGCTGGGAGTAAAATACAAGTTCCTTCAAGGGACGGGAACCTGGAATCCACTCCCCTTAGTCCCAAGTGTGGCTTCATAGAGCTTTGAGTCACACAGTCCTGGGTTCAAGTTCTGTCTCTGCTGCCTATTGTTTCCCTGGCTCAGTCCACTGCACCTGAGATTGCAGATGCTCACGTTTCTGAAGAGGATGTAGTGAGGACAAGAGGGTGATGAGGAGAGGTGCAAATGCTTCAAGGATGAATGACAAGAGGGCATGTGGGTTTTGTGCAGATTGCGAATCAACAAACTCAGCCTCCTGAACCTGCAAGCTGACCTGTCTTCCAATGGCAATGGCATCGACCTGAAGCTGCCTGTGGTTTTGGATGCCTCTGTGGCTCTGTGAGTATGTATTGCTTGGATTTAGGGGGTGGAGTGCAATATGGCCTATTTGAGTAGGCACTTAATTCCCAGCTATTCTTTGGCCTCTGACCAAATTTCCCAATCTGTAAAAGATGGGATCCTCTGAGGTCTAAATCCCAATCTTTAAAGTAGTCTAGTGAAAACATGTCATGTTAAGTAAATGAATGTTGTATATAATATGCTTTTGTGTGCATGCTGCATGTGTACACTTGTGTTTATAAAGTTTAATGTGCACTCACATGTGTTTGTAGAGTTCAGACGTCAACACCATGAAACTGCCTCAATGTGGTGTGTATGCCAGATTAATTATGAGATAGTCTCTCACAGTACTTGGAACTCATAGATTGGGGTAGCCTTTCTGGATAAGTAAAATACAATTTTTAAAGTTTTTCAATTTAAAATGAGAGACACAGAAAAACAACCATGTCAAGAACCTGTGCAAAAGAATCCCTGGAGATTGGGCGTATTCTTCACAGAGAGCACTTGCCCAGTATGTGTGAGTCTCTGGCCTCAATCACCTACATAGGGGGAAGGGGTGTTTGTATTCGATACATTTGTGAAGCCATGAGCTGTGATAGTTACTTTACTTTTCTATGACCAGGATTTAGTGCTAAAAAATGAGAGTGATTTATTTACTAGCAACATTATAATGCTTAGATGGATTATAGCAGGTATAATACTTTAAATTAATGCCCACAGGTAATTTGTGTTATAAAATGTTATTAATTAATTTTTGTTATTAGTCTCATGCCAAGTAAAAATCTTGCATGTGCTAGAGATGCATGGCCCAGATAAGTCTAATTTAAACATGCAAATTTTGTAGGAGTATATGTAACAGGTTGACATTACTGTTATGATGTTAACATTGCCCATAGACACCCTGAACTGTGTGCACCCACAGAGATGAAAACCAATGCAGCCTGCAAAGCCTTCTAGACCTGTGCCTGGTGTGACTCTTGTTTTCTGCAGGCCTATCATTGGCTCCGCGGTTGATGTTGCTATTTCCTTGGACCTTATAACTTCACTCACTGTTGAAACCAATGCCCAGACCGGCCTTCCCACGCTGTCCATTGGAAAATGCTCAAGTGATTCAGACAATATCTCCATTTCCTTGTTGGGCAGGTAAGGCCCATCCAGCCCAGCAGAGCCGAGCTTTTGGGGAGACTTTAGGACCCTGACTTTCATCCTGTTCCTACACCTGGGAAGAAGCATGGTGTACAATACAATCAGGCTAGTCTCAAGTATCACCTCTGTCACAACTATCAGCTCAGTCACTCTGCAGCTTCATCTTTTGAGGCCTCAGTTTGTACATCTGTGTATTAGAACAGTAGAGATCTGTACTAATCAGCTTCTGGGATGAAGACATGAGAAAATACACATGTTTACCTGAGAGCCTGGAACACGCTAAGTGCTCAAGAGACATGATATCTACACTGGCTCTATGGACTGTTCCTTTCCACTACTGAGGCAGAAGGATGGACATTTCCTGTCATAATCATGCATTTCCCTATGGTACCTTTCAATTGGGTCAATGTGCCTCATGCCGTAGAAGATGTTAACATTGCATCTACCTCCACTGGGAGGCAGTTGGTAAATTAGATGCTAGCATGGGACCTGATTGTCCTGAAGTAATCTCTACCCTCTGGAAAATTCCTAGAGTGAGATTCTGACATCCCAATCTTGTCATTTTCCATCACTGATTCCAATTGATCCTCAAACTCTGCATCTTTTATTGTATATTTAATAAAGCAGGTTTGGCTCAAACAGGGGTTGGAAGAGGTGATGCCATCCAGTGTCTAGAGAAGGAAACATCACCTGTAAGCCTTGGTCAGAATCAGAGGGATGGACTCTGTTCCTAGCTTTGATAATCATGTCTTGAGTCCATCCAAGCTCCCTGTACCAAAGACCTGATATGATATCAAAGACAGGACGACAGTCTGCCAAGCAGAGCCAGGAAACTCATGTTGTTGCACTGGGTCTGAATATCCATGGCCAAGAAGACTCTCATGATGCTCACTCTACTTTAGATATATTGGCTTTTGTTCTGTGCCTCAGACAAGCTTTTTCCTACCACAAAACATCTTACCTGAATTCAATGTATCTTTTCATCTTTCAGGACGCTTACTAGATTCCTTCTCTTGTCTTATAAGAATGTACTCTTAAACTTCAGATTACTTGTATCTATTGTCATTGTGTGCACACATATTTTGAGACAAGATCTCACTTTAGAGCTCTGGTTAGCATCAATCTCAGAGATCTACCTGCTTCTGTCCCTGAGTTTTGGGGTCATAGTGGGTGACACCAGACTGGGTATGCCACTGTCTATTTAACTAGACCTGTTCTTTGTTTATGTTGTGTGTTGGGAGATGCGGTGTTCTGTGTGGGCACACATGCACATGTGCCAGTGGCTGGAGATCACAAAGTAGGCTAAGCTGGCTGAAGAATCTACCTGTCTCTGTCTTCACTGCTCTGAAATATAAGCATTTGATACCAACTGGCTTTTCCTTCTTTTCTTAAAAAATATGGCTACTAGAGATAGAGTCCAGGTCCTCATACTTACAAGGCAAATACTTTGTGGACTGGGCTATCTCATTGGCCCACTTCACTCATTCTTCTAGTAAAAAATCTGCTATTTTCTAAGCAGGCATTGTTGTGAGCCCCAGAGAAGGATTTGGTGAAAATGAGTAGGCTCTCTGTCTCCTGCAACATGTCATGAGGAAAAAGCAGGCAGAGGACTATTTGGTCCATCATAAATTTAAGGAAAATGAGGAGCCCTACACTGACCACCATACTTAGCAGGGCACAAGAAGAGAAAAATCCTCCCTTCAGTGATCAATCGGGATGGGAACCTCAGGAGATAACAACTGGATGAGAGTTAAAGGGGAGGGGGCCACCTCAGTGAGATTTGTTTATGAAGGAAGTAAAAAGCTGGTTGTATTTTGCCCAGTGCCCAAAGCTGAGCTTGGTGCTCTATAAGTAGTGGCTGAGTGAAGGATGCTGTGTCAGGGCTGGAATGAGCACTCAGATGCTGAGGAGGTAACTATTAGGAGTGAGATGCTCACGTGCTCAGTGGTGGTCCATCCTGATAGAGGCCACTGGGCCACAAGCTGAAATGAGTCCACAGAGCAGAGTTGTGGGTCACCTGACCTCCAGAGGGCTCTCTCAGCTATGCTGAACTCTTGACCAAGCTTTGCATGTCCCTTCTTTTCCAGACGAAACACCTTTGTCAACAGAGTCCTGGATAGTGTATCTGGTTTCCTTACAAATACTGTAACAAGCCTGCTGCAAAACCAAGTAAGTCCCCAGCTCTTTGCACCCAGAGCCAGGCCTGGTGGGGATCACAGAGGTATCTGCTGGTGTGACTGTGTGCTCAGGACACTGTCTCCTGTGAGGTCCAGATTTGTCTTTGGGAAGTCTGTGGGCACCTCCTTCCCCGCTCAGTAGCTGGACTGCAGAGAGAGGAGAGGAGGCAGAAATCACAGATGATGCCTTGAGCTGTTTACCACATCCGTGCTCCACCTGTACACTTTAGCTAATGTTTCCTTGTAATCAACACACTTTCATTTACACGACTGTGTTTAAGCACCTGTGAATGGGATTCTGCAGGGAACTTTGAATTAGGCTCCCCAAATTCAAAGGAGCTTGAAATTCCAGGGCTCAAGAGTTTAAGGTTTAAGGAGTCTAGATGCTAGTTCTCAGCAGCCTGTGACACATCTGGGTCATGCTGCTTCAATTCCATAGTTCTAGGTAGCTAAGGTTAACTGTTCTCAGGTCCTAGAAATGAACCCCTCGGTCGGGGGAGGATGGTCATTGTGTTGTAGGCAAAGTCTCATCTGTTTTCTATCTCTCCCCCTCTTCTTTCTCTCCACTTGTATCTGGCTCTCAGATATGTCCTGTGCTCCAGTTCCTCCTCAGCAACCTGAACGTCAATCTTACTCAAGACCTCCTTTGTAAGTCACAGCTTGGGGACTGGAGTGCCTTCATGGGCCAAGACAGCAGCTGTGGGAGTTCCCAAGGCAGGGACCTTAAATCCTGACCAAGTTGGGCTGTTGGCTTCTCTTCCCCTCATTGGAGCCTCCTTTGAGGTTTATGCTCCTCATGACTGTTGCTGGGGTAACAGGAATCAGGCACCCAGGGTGTCAGGCCCTGGGGGTGGCCCTTCTGTGGTTGTGTCCCTTTACACATCCTTCTGTCTCTTGTATGCTTTATCTCATTGGGTCATCAAGAGAGTCTGTACAGTCACTCCTCACTCTCAGGGGCACTGTCATTACCCACTTTCAGGTGAAAAGTGACGTACTTGAGGTCACAGAAGGGACGGAGTGATGTGCAGGAGGGAGGTGAAGAGTTGGGCGGGCTTCTGTTCAATTTCCCATGGCAAATACTGAGGTTTTAATCTTGACTTGGTTTTTTCAGCTAATATACTGACAGGACAGTTACCAGCCTCCATCTGAAGAGGATGGAGCTGAAGGAGGAATGCTGTGACGCCCTGCTGGTAGAGTGTCCTCGTTACTTTTCTATTGCTGTGACAGAACAACATGACCGAGGGAAATTAGAATTTATTTTGGGATTCACAACTCAAGAGGGTTAGAGCCATGACTGTCATGGTGAGGAGCATGGCAGCAGGTAGGCAGGCATGGCACTGGAGCAGTAGCTGAGAGCTCATGTATTGAGACACAATCACCAGGCTGAGTGAGCTAACTAACATGGCCTTTGAAATCTTAATACCCATCCCTAGTGACACCCCTCCTCCAACTAAGCCATACCTTCTAATCTTCCCAAACAGTTTGTCTAACATGGGACCAAGTATTCAAACACATGAGCCTATGGTGGCAGTTCTCATCAAACCCCACAGGTAGACTCTATGCCCTTGCACAGCAGCCTGTCAGGAAGCTAGGGACAGGCTTGTTTTACTTCTGTCAGAAGACAAGAGAATCTGAACCCTGATCCTGACTCTGGACTGAGCTCTGAATTTGAGTATACTCTGAACCCTGGTCCTGGATCAATAACCCAAACTCAGCTTGGGTCTTTGTTACTAAATGAATTTACAGGATGGGGTTGACTGAGTCCTAATTTTGAGCACAGACACTTGTCCTTGGCCTGCCTCTTGACACTGGCTTTATGTCAGGGCTTCTACAGTCTTTTCCCATCTGCCATTGTTCCAGAGGAAAGGATGAGAAGGGGTCAGGGCCAGGTGGGAGAACAAGACCACAAATCTACAGCTTTCTCTCTCCTCTTCATGGCCTAATCTATGCTGGCACTTCAGAAATGAGTGGAAACAGTGAGACCAGGCTTCTGTGGATCTACTCAATGTCCAATGAAAGCCAGCTCCCACTGCTGCTGTGACAGCCAATGTCCTCACACCCTGTGTTCTCATTCCAGGTTGGTCTCCAGTGGCTTCATCTGACTTCCAGTGGTATTTCTCTCTAGAAAGTGCTACCACCATCCATACAAGGTCTGCCTGAGCCCACCTGAAGGACCCTTCTTGACTCCCTTTTTCTCTCAGTGGTCTCCACCCTTGCTATCACCACCCCAGCATTAAAAACCTAACTGCATCCTGGTGTGTGACTTTCTTTAATTCTTGTGTAACAGAAGTTGTTGGTAGGGTGTGGTGTATGTGTGGGGTGAGATTGCAGCTTAGTGGATGAAACAAACCCACAGCTGGAAGGCCCAACAGTGCACAACTTACAGCTTTCCTTTATACACAGAGCCACGGAAGCATGGAGAGAGTAGCCACACAGCCACTGTGTGACTGTGGCAGGATACCAACCACCAGCCACACATGCACAAGTGTGTATTTGCACCTGCTTGTGTGCTAGCCAAGCAGTGGAATTGAGTTACCTTGGGTCACAACCTTACTCAGAGCTTTGCCATGACACCTCAATGGTCATGATTACTGGCATAGAATGAGGACCACCCCTGTCCAATGAGACCCAGAAGCACAGATAGACAAGCTCAGGTGACTGTAGCCTTTCTTCTCTCTTACTCAGAAGCACTCAAGCTCTTATGCTTTCCAACCTGACTTAACCCTCCTCTGATACTCAGTTTCTTGATACCACTTCCAGAGTGATATATGGGAATCTTAGTCTCTTTGGGGATGTCATGGATCAGGATCATGGTGACACTCAGTGGTTCCTGATACCACCCTAGTCAGGGAATCTGCAACTAAAGAGGTCGTCTTAATACTTCACTATATCCTAATGCCATGACCTTGAAGTACATGCTCCTGGTGGGGTTACTTGGGGACCCTGAAGATCTGGGATACACATAAGTGCTGTGTTCTCTTCACTCCCTCGTGGTTTTGGATGCTGGGACAGACTAGGCAGATCTCAGGTGAAAGAACAGCATGGCACCGTGCCTAGCCTTTCCAGGGTCCTGTGACAAATTCCTCTATTCTGTCTTGTGAGTTTTCTTCCCCAAATTCCTTTGCCCTTAAAGCAGACTCTGTGGATTTCTCCCATTACAGAAAGAAGATGGCAGAGCCAGAGAGCACACACATTGTTCAGTCACAGATGTTCACTGAAACCTTTACACCCCTGGATTATGAATATCATGGGGCTTAGTCTACTGTCAAGTTTTTGCCTCCTCTGGACTCCCAGAAGTGTAGAAAGGATAAAGAAAGGCTGTCAATAAAGTGGTCCAGGACAGACAGTGGCCAATCAACAACTTCTGCTCCAGGACTTGAGGCTCAAACCCCAGTCCTGCTCTCCTCCCATTGGTCCTGGGAAAAGCTGTTTCAGCCACTCACATTCTTCCTAGCTTTCAGAACACCAGAAGCCTCTCTCCCATGCTAGGCATACCCTGCAGCAGAGCAACAGCCAAATAACCAAAAGTCCCAAAGGGAAGGAACAGTGCAGGTGTCAATGTGGTGACAAACCAGGGGATGGGAAATCTAGAATGATGAACTCCGACCTTAGCATCACCGTACACGTCACTCCTCCCTTCACTCATCTGTGCTGTTGTACTTAAACATCTGCAAGGTTCTAGTCACTGCTCTGGATTCTAAGTTCACCACAATGAAGAGCACACACAAAGCTCTCTGTGTCCCCAGGGATGGTGTTCTGTTCTAGTCAACTAACAACCAGTAGAGAAATGCAGAGCCCACACCATCACAGAGAGGGCTTGGTATTGTAGGAAGACGAAGCAGGAGGTTATGAGAGGAGGAGGTGGGAACTGAGAAGTTGACAGAAGACAGAAGGCTGTTTGAGGGTGAAAACTTCAGCATGAACCATGTGGTTTAGCACAGGAGCTGTGCCAGGGCACAGGCAAAGGATGTAGAAAGGGTGTGAGGCGGCCATGAATGAGTTTTCTTTTTTAAGCACAGAAAGCAGGAAAAGTGCCTGGTGTATAGAGGGAACTCCCTGTGATGGAACATTTTACAAGAGTGATGTTGGGGTTGCTTCCCTAAGAGGAGCTGGCACTGTTCATCTCTGGGGTCATCTATTTATTTTTGACTTCTCTGTGCTGTTTACATTCTTCTTAGATGTCATAATTTGAAATCCCTTAAAAATATATATCAAAGCTTGGGATAAAACTTAGCATGCAAACCTGAGGACCTGAGTTTAATCCCCATCACTCCTATCAAAAAGTCGGGTATTGTGGTGGACACTTGTAATTCCAATGCTGGGGAGTAGAGTTGTGGGGATCTCTGGGGCTCACTGGCCAGCCAATCTTGCCTTGCCAGTGAATCTTTGGCCAAGTGAGAGACACTGTCTCAAAATTAAGGTGGATGGGTTCCAAGCACCAACATCCAAGATTGATCTCTGGTCTCCATGTGTTCATACATGCCTGTTCACCTGCAAGTACACACACACACACACACACACAGACACACACACACACACACACACACACACACACACACACACACACACACCACCACCACCACCACCACCATCCATCCATCCATCCATCCATCCATCCATCCATCCATCCTTCCACCCCTCCCTCCATCCAGTTTCTTCTGTGGTTTACTGTTCTTTAAAACCCTCATTCGTGTGTGACTTCCTGCAGTCTCCTTTGCCCTTTTCTCTCTCCTGCTCTAGACTATGGGCATGTTCAGACAGAAGATATATGCCATTTGCTGTTTGATGTGAAATGCCTGGATAAATTCTAGAGCTCTAGACCAGTGAGGGAAAAGCAATTGATGCATCTGGTTACAATTAGGTGCCCTGTGCCGGGTTCTATGGAAGTAGATGAGGGAGCCCAGCAGCCATGCCAGGGGTTTTGGCAGGTTTACTGAGGTGGCGGGGTCTGATGGGTTTATAAGGATGCCTAGGAGTTCTCTGGAGGAAGGCCCATTGTCACAAGAGGGCACAGCATAGGCAAAGCCACAGGTAGGAGAGGCCTTGTTGCATGGTGGAGAGAATCTCTGAGGATGATCCTAGGCATTGTGGGATGGGTCAGACTCCTGTCAGGGGAGTGGGCTTGAGTTGATAGTCCTCTGTGCACCTGCTGTGTGAAGAGAGGGTGTGTATCATGACAGATTGTGTCACTAAAAGAAAGTATATCCCATGACAGGAGACATAAGAAGCGGAATGTGAACAGCTCAATTGAATCTGCTTTATTGGTTTGCACAGCTCAGCTATGTCATTTTCTACATCCATGCTACCCATGTGAAATATAACAAAAGGCATGCATGTCATCTTGATTTTGTATTGGTTTTCTAGTAGAACAATGATTCTGGGAGCATGGACTCAATGGGAAACTATTTGACAAAAGGATCTGAGGCCCAGGGTCCAAAAATATATTTTCCTTTCCTAATATTGCAAAGTATGTTCAATTCAACATGTCATCAATATGAAATTTTAAGGAAACATACTACATTCTTTGTTTCTGCTCTGGCTTGGAGGTCATGTGCATTCCATGCTTGGCACACATTTGCAATGAGTCATCTGAAGAGCTATCTGCTGTTCATCTGACCATTTTGGACAGTGAGACTCTAACTAAACTAATTTCCTACCATTGACAAAACTTTGAAAGTTTTAGGGCATCTCCTTTTATCCACACACATGCCAGCACCTACCAAGGCCATCCCTAACACCTTATGAGCTTTGGCTCCTATGATAGATAGCCCACATATGTATTTGGTTTAGCCAAACAAGAGTTTTATTAATGTGAACAAGTTGCTGGTATCAAAAACAAGAAATAGCTGATGGTCAGCAGGTAATTTGGCAATGCCTTGAATACCTGTGTGTTGAAGTAGACAAAGATGAGAGAGAGGACACTTTCTGCTTAGGCAATTGTGGAGAAATATTACCTAGGCTGGATGAGTTCAGCACCTTGGAAAGCACAAGACTATAGGAGTGAGAACAGACAGGAGGCGCAGACTCTCTTGTGGCATCCTGTCTATTCAGTAAGAGTATGATGCTGACTGAATCCTTGAGCTCCATCTCTGGGACACACAAAAAGTCAGATTGCTTGACTGCCATCTATGATGCCAGCATTCCTACAG